GCGCTCCCGAGGCGTCTCGGCTGGCGCCGCGGGCAGGCGGGGAGCTGGCTGTGCCTGCGGAGCCTGTGGCCCCGCTCTCTGCCCCGGCGCTGAGCTGGGTGACAGCCTGGGTCTGAAGGGGGAGTCTGCTCTGCGATCTGGCTGCAGTTAAAAATCACAAAGAATTACCTTCAAAGAAGCAAAATTTTTAGTCTGTTCACAAAAAGCCCTCCTTAACATAGATAATTCAAATATTGGCTATCCTTTGGAGACAAAAAATTGATTTTGTCTGTCTTCTGTGCTGGTCTGTGGCACAATTTCTTACTGTGAGTGTCCCCTTCCACTTCATGTTTCACATTTCTGTTCCCTTACGTGAGACAAAGAATTACCTTCAAAGAAGCAAAATTTTTAGTCTGTTCACAAAAAGCCCTCCTTAACATAGATAATTCAAATATTGGCTATCCTTTGGAGACAAAAAATTGATTTTGTCTGTCTTCTGTGCTGGTCTGTGGCACAATTTCTTACTGTGAGTGTCCCCTTCCACTTCATGTTTCACATTTCTGTTCCCTTACGTGAGGGGGAGCGAGCAGCCAGCCTGCCTGCGCGGACATGGCCCCTGGCCGGCCGGCGGGGTTTGGTCCCTCCACAGTTGGTAGCTGTGCCAGAGGAAAATCAGCTCTGGCTTCTCGTGTCCTTGCCTATTCCTCTGCGGTTACATTAATAATTGGCATGAAAACCCTTTGCCAAGCCACAGTTAACGGAGACAGATGATCGTCACATACCTCTTGGCAGGAACTGGCTAACAATTTCATCTGAAGAGATTAAACTTTGATCTTATTATAAATAATTTTCCCACCATTTGATCAAATGTTTTTGCACGTGTTGTTGCTTCCTCTGCCCTCAGATAATAATTTCTGTGAGACTGTTGGGTGGGTGCTGTGCCGCAGACGGCTCTTCAGTGGAGGTGTCACTCCTCATTAGGATCTTTGCTGTTCAAGGACGGATTTAGCTCCGGGAAGATCTTCCATTCCTGAGCCAGCGTACAAGCTAGGGAGGGGGGAGCCTGACGAGGTCTGACGAGGAGCCGTTCCTCGAGAGGCTCCCGCCTGGTGCCAGGCAGAGGGCAGGGGCACTGGCGCTCAGGAGCTGCCTCCTCGCTGGGGGCTTCAGGTCGGGGTAGGGGGCAAGAGGCTGGGTAAGGGCAGCAAGTGCCCCGTCCTCTGTAGGGAGTGAAGCAGCAAGTCCATGATACCAACCCGCGCCTTAGGCGTTCGTCTGTGTGATGCAGCCTTTCTTCTGTGTACGTGGGAATCTCGACCCCTTACCCAACACTGCATGCTCCTGAAGGAGCTGAAACGCGCATAGAGACTATGGCATAATTAATCTTGTAATCTGTTCAAAATCAATGTCTCTTGTCGAGCTGTCGAGTCTCCGGATGCAGATGGTGGCTCAGAATTAGCTGAGGCTCGGGAAGTTTCTTGGAACACTGACATTTTTTTCTGCCGAAGGTCTCCCTCCCGGGGTGCTCCTGCCGCCAGCTCCTCTCGCTTGGGCACCACGGGCAAGGCGTGGCAGTGATGCTTAACCTGCGCCATGGGCACAGACGGGGAGAAGGTCGTCTCCTGGGCAGCGAGCTCAGGGGTGCAGGCAGGACATGGAGCCATGGGTGGCACAGCTTGTGGAGCCGCTCTGCGGAGCGTGGCGTCTCCAGCGAGACCTGGAGCCCCTCATCATGAAAGCCCACCAGAGAAGGGCTGTGACAAGGGGAAAGGGAGACTTCAGGAACACCTGAAGCAGCAGTGACTTCCTCGGCAGCTGTGGTGCGATGGTCTCAGGGAAGTCATTGGCAGCAGCAGGGAAGTTCTGGCTGCAGATATGCAGATTCAGAGGGAAAATTAAACAAAGAAACAAGACCCTATTTAGCTGTCAGATCCCTGCTCCTCTAAATATATCTGAGTGCAGCTTTCACACTGCCCTTCCCCTTCAGCAGTCACAAGAGGGAATTAGCAGTTGTTCATTGTATTTGCAGGGGAAAAGAAAAGATGCTATTTAGTCTGCAGGAGGCAAAATTAATACGGTGTTTTTTCTAATCTGGCCTCAGCATGGGGCTAAATAAGTGTGTTTGAGGAGAGAACGGAGCTGTTTACCTGCAGGAGTAGAGCTGCATTAGCTATGTAAATGTTCACTGTGGGACGACGCCATTTGTATTCCCGGCAGGCATCGGCTCCTATCTTAAAGGGCTTTTAAATCTGTTGCAGATTAATAATGCAGCCAGTGCAGAAATGCATTCTCCTTTCTGAGGCTGTGGAGAAGCGGTTTGTGCTGAGTTAGGTCCTCTGAAGCAGACGGTACAGCACCAGCCCAGCCCCGGCCGGGAGGGTCTGGGGGGCATAGGACGAGCCGGCCCCGGGGCGAGGGTCTTTGCCCTCTGTGCAGCGGCATCAGGCCTGGGATTGCTGTGCGGTAACTGATGAGGCTGCGTCTCTGGTTTGGAAAGAAGGACCCTGGCGCAGGAGCTGCCTGGGACAGTGCCCAGTGCATTGTTTGTGTTGGGGTGACTGCAGGAGAGGCTGCCGGTAGCAGTGGACAGCAAACGGGTGGATTGTGGTCTGCTCTGCCCTGCCCCAGCTCCGAGACCGCGTGGGGCGAGCGTTCCTGGAGACGGCTGGGTGCCGGAGCTGGGGCTGGGCACTAAGAAGGCTCGCTCTGCTGCGTGGTTCAGCTCTGTAAGTGCTGGCTGTTGTCCCTCTCGAAGGGCCGCCGTCGGGTTTCGGATGCAGCGGGTCGTTCAGTGGAGGGGCACAGCGCCCACATCTAGGTTTATGCCTTTTCTGATGGTACACTGGTTAATTAAGAGGAGTTAACCCACGTACAGCAGAGTGGAGTTTATGAAATCAGGCAGAGTGGTGAATAATTTAATGTTTGCTTTTTCAGAATAGACGCAATGTTAGGGGAGCTTAAAATATTGATGCGAAACACATTTTTTTCACAGTGTGAAATGTTTTGTAGTCTGTGTGATTTTCCTTAGTCCCTTTAAAATATGTTTGAGGCTGGTGCCTGCTTTGCTGGCGTGTGCCGTGGGCTCTGCTCTACAGCCGATCACTAAGTGAGTGTGACTTTTCCTGATGTCTTTGTAACAGTCAGGATCACTTGCTCAAGTTTCTTCAGTCTGTTTGCTAGATTGAGAGATAAAGGAGGGCATCTGTGGGATATTTTATTGATGGGAATCGTATAAAACAGCAGGGAGCAATTAACTTCGTCTGCAGGAGCAAGCCCCGCGTTAAGCGCCGGGCTGGCCTCGCTGCCGGTGTCGCTTGCCGCTTCGAAGCGCGCAGCGCTGTGCGCTCCTGCGGAGGCCGCGGGCTCCTGGTGGGGATTGCCCTGCGGTCCCTGCGCCCAGGGCTGCGAGCCGGCCCCTGCGCCGTTCTGTGTGTGCGCGTGGCTCAGCGTGTGTTTGCAGCACTGGCGCAAGAAACCAAGAATATTTCTTTTTTCTTTTCATCTTGTTGAAACACTTCTTGTGTACGAAGAGTGTTTTCACCACTCCTGTCCAACAGCACGTGCCATGTTACAGCCTGTGCTAGCCTAGACCTGGCTCCGATGAATTGGGAGTGAGGAGCAATTTGCAGGGTCTGGAGAGAAAGTGTGCCAGACTGTGCTGGCGTGGAGAGGGGGGGTGTGGGTGCTGCTGGCCGCAGGGAGGGTGTGGGGAAGGCTGCCGGAGAGGGGGGACGCTCTGCCCCCGGCAG